GAACTAAATTGGGAAATATGTCCAGATCCATAGAATGATGCTAAGAGCACTAAGTGGGGCTCCAGCTCCCTTTATGAGGCACGAGGCTCATCGGCAGCATGATGCTCCACCAGTGGCAGCTCTGCCCTAGCTGTCCACCCAGAGAGCCCAATCCAGGCAGCAAAGAGATTAATAAAGGGGGCATGCTGTTATAAATGGTTACAGAAACGAAAGCACTGCTGATGAATTCACAACTATGAGGCAGAAAACAAATTTTGGAAGGCTGCTTGAGCATCAAGGGTTGTGTTAAGAACTTTGCTGACTCTCCACTGCAGTATGAAGTCATGTGGTCAAGAGACTTTTCTTTTGTTTCTTTCTACTGTCACCTACCACTACTCAGTAATGGCTACCTCTAAGACATTTACCACTAAACTCTGAGAACCCAAGAACGAACATCAAGAATTCAGAATTCTTTTCCATTGCAAGTTAAAGACCTCTGAGCAACTCCTCTTGGTGGGAAGCCCTATTCCTGCCCATCATTCCTGCCATTAGCAACAAGCATGGCCCTTAGAGAAAAATACACAGCCTTGGTTACTCAGCACCACTTACGTAACCCAAAGTCACATGTCCATCCCTCACTGCTGAAGAAGAGACAGTTGCCAACTGTTCAATAGAATCATGGACCCTCAAAGGATTATCCAACAAGCAGTGGGGAAGCACACAACAATGTATGATACCACTCTTTGCACCATGACACTGGCCTAAGAGGGCTGCCGGCCCTGCCATATGATGCTAGTAAAGCATTTGCCTTCCAAGTAGACAGATGCAAACATGAACTCAACAGCAAAGTCACGCCAAGCCCCACACTTCTCTCCCAGCTGTACATACAGCCTACAGAGAGGAGGGACATCCAGGAGGCCTGTGGGTGGGATGCCGTCACCCCTCACAAGCATCCTTAGTGCAGGCAGCACTGGCAGTGTCATGAAGGAGCACATTGCTTTACCCAGCAGGTCCTCAACAAGGAGCTCATGCTATACTGGTGCTGCATACTTGCACAGTGGCAGGCTGAATGGGTGAGGCTGTCCATCAGGTACAATGCCAGAAAGTTCGAAACCCCGACAAAACAGCACCAGAGAGCTCTGTGTCCTACAAAATGACCTCACCAGGCTTCACTACGTGCAAAAGCAAGATGCAACACAGTTCTGCCATTTAATGCTTTCTTTTTTCTCCTCTGAGATAGGGTCTCTGTTTGGAGCCTTGACTGGCCTCCACTCCCTATGTAGATCAGGCTAGCATTGAAGGCAGAGATCTGCTTGCCTCTGCCTCCAGAGTGCTGGGACTACAGGCAAGTACCACCACACCTGGCTCCACTCACACTTTAAAAAGGTAGGGATGTGCAAGAAATGGGCAACTCCAACTTGGCTCCAAAACCAAATGATGGGTAGCAGCTTGAGAGGCTCCAGGATGAATCTCCCACCTGTGCTACCCACATCTGTATCTGGATCAGGAGATATCTTCATCTAGTCACAATAAAAGTTTAGGAGCTGGAGCAATGCCTCAGAGGTTCAAAGCACTGGCTGCTCTTGCCAACGACCTAGATTCAGTTCCCAGAGTCCACATGGTGGTTTCACAACTATCTGTAACTCCAGTTCCATGGCTTCAGTGCCCTCTTCCAGCTTCTGTAGGCACTGCATGCTCACAGTGCACAAATATACATACAAGAAAAACACCATACACATAAAAATGTTTAAAAATCTGACTTTTAAAGGAAAAAATATAAATTAGACTTTTTTTTCTATTACTTTAGACAGTCATGATGCTGCTAAATCCTGTATAGCCACCAGCCCGGACCTCCAAATCAAGCCTGGGAACAATGGTCCATGGGAGTCCAGATGTGGAGAATACTAACTCTCGGAGGCCTCCAGCCTGCACCACAGAGGAAAGCCCGGCTTCCAAGCTCAGGCAGATAAGCTCTATCAATGGTTTATTAACAGAGCTCAGTCACTTGTCAGGACCAGTGTGAAGAAATCTGTGTATAATGCCGTTTAACACTCCCATGCCAGAAACACACTGATGTAGTAAGTATCCTCAATGACCACATGACCTGGCTTGCTGAGCGGATGGAGAAAGGATGCTGAAACACTATTACTCAATGCTCACACAGCTGTGCTGCCTATAAAACCCCAGTGTTGTCAGCATATGGCACAAGAACATTGTCCAGTGACCCAGAAATACTACCCTTGGATACTCCTACAGGCTACAGAGAGTTTAAGCTCCTGACTAAATCCATCTCAGCATTTGGACTTGAGTGTGCTTTTAGCGCAGTTGATCAACAGAGGACTGTAGTTAAGCCCCAGCCCTGTATCAGGTACAAACGAAGACGAACCAACTCTCTGTTCTCAGAAAGCCTTCATCTGAGTCCTAGAGATAGAGGCCAGAGGCACAGACACTGGTCCCCCGTGTGCATAGCTCCAGGCAAACCTGCTGCTAGGCGGCTCACAGCAAGCTAATAAATGGTGGCGCAGGGCCTTGCACTGCCAAGCTGAGTGCATGTGGCCAAATCACAGTGCTCACAAGAGTCACTGAACCTCCATTACATAGCTTAACTGACATGGGTTGGCAACTGTGACTGACATGCAGCTGTTGTGAGAATGTAGAAGACACAGTAGAGATGAGGAGATGCTCTCTGAAACTAAAGAACAGCACTGAATGACAGGCTTAGCAATACTCTTGTGGTCAGCACACCTCCATGCCTCACTTTAAAAGAGCAACAAAACTCTAGCAGCGAGTTATTTAGAAGCAACAAAACCAGGAGTGAGTTATTTTCTAGGTAAGGCAGTGCTAAGCATACATTAAAAATATTAATGTCTTATTTAGCCGATTATTACAATCAATCCTTTGCATTGGGTTGGAAGTCTGAGACGCATTAAAAAAAATTCCATTAGTAGAGGAAATCTATCCATCCAGTTAAGTTAAGGAGCAAGGGCCTGCGAGATTACCACAACAGTACAGAGAGGAGCACAGAGCTGGACATGGCTCAGTGGTAGAGCCCACACTTATTAGAAAGTGAATCCCTAAGGACCTAAAAAAGAGAGAGTGAGACAAAGATTTAAAATACCAAGATTTCAAAGAGACTAGTATTACCACCACCACCCAACTTCACTGAGAATACTAACAAACTAGGAAACAAAACTGTGAAGGCAAAACAGAAAATGAGCAGTCACATCCTTCCTTCAGAGCAAGGAAGGACACAGAACACTGTGAGAAACTAGTTCCTCCTCCTGCTCCTTCATTCTCACTGCAGGCTTCACAGTTAGAAGCATGGGTCTGCTGAAGCACAAAGTGCTGCCTTGCAGAGAGAATTTGCTGCCTCTGACCAGTCTCTTCTATATGTAACTAGAAGCCAGGATGCTTCAGTTTTTGAGCACAGCTCAAACGTATGTGGAAAGTGAAACGTAGAATTGCACTGGAGCCTGGAACCCAGTGTGAGCAGCAGGGAAGAGGAAATGCACAAGGGCTAGTGGAGCAGCACTGATGTGAACTAAGTCCACCTCTCTTTCACAGAGCGGAGGGCCCAGCTCAGGGCCAGAGCCCAAGGATCCGAAGTGCTCTCTGACTTCAAGGGGCCCATGCATGTGGTGCAGAGGTACATGTAGATAAATGACTCACACCTAAGATATAAAATATTAATCTAAAAAAATTTCTAAAGAGGGGTTGGGGAAAAGGAAGACTGGGCTCCTTGCCCGAGGTCACACAGGGTCATAGGGACAGGTAGGGCTGGACAGTGTACATGTAGAGCTGGCCTTTCCAATTCACATCACTGCTGTGTAGGAAAGGGAACACCTTTATTAGGAGAAGGAGCCTTTGGCTCAGGTGTTTCTTTCCAGGAAGACCTCAACTGCCAGTGGCATCAAGAGCAGGCAAACCAGAAGGAAATGAAAGCCAAACGAAGTCTCCCCTGATCGCAGTGATAGGACATGTTCTATAAATCAGTGTTAGGACTGAGGAGTTGGCCTGCAATCAGGATGGTAAGAACCTGCATTGATAAACAGTTATCAGCCAAGGGTTAATAAAAAGACTGTCCTCCTGCCCTGTCACACATATCAGCAGGCACTCTCATACACTGCTGGGGACAACAGAAACTATGATAGAAACTTTTCATTTTAGTTCATGTGTTTGTGTGTTTGTATGTACATGTGTGAATGGTGGCAGGGGACACATATGGCACTACACATGTGTGGGGCTTGGAGGATGGTCATCAGGCTTATGTGGCAAGTGTCTTTACCTGCTGAGCTGTCTCACTGGCTCTGCCTTAGAGCTCGGTTCAGCAATGACCACCTGCACTCTGATGCATATCCTAATGACAGGCTACACAAGGATTTCTGCAAGTTGCAGCGTGTGGTTATAGCATTGTCCAAGATAGCCCAAACAGGAAGGGTGGCCTACATATATGTCCACTAGCGAGAGCACTGGCTACATGGCCTATGAGCTCCAAGTACAAGATGGAACTCTAGGGTGGGGAGTAGGGCAGGAGATATAAAATATTGCTGAGTAAAACACTAAGCACAGAATAGGACACACACTATGACCCGACATCTGCAAAGATCTGTCCTTAGTCTACAGACACGTCTATGGATATGTTAGACTCTTCTACGTGGACCCCTGGAAGTCACTAATAATCTCTTATGTGCAGTGGAGGAGAAACTCTCCATCTCATGTTCTGTTTAATTGCTTGGATTTTTCTACCATGCTCATACACTGCCCTAATCCAGCTGAAGACACGAGTGCCAAGAGTGGCACCATGCTGCCAGGGCTGTGGTGGTGCACATGGCTACTCCCAGAATTCAGGACAAGACAGGGCAGGGGGCTACACAGTGAGTTCAAGGCCAGCCTGGGATATGTGAGACCCTGTTTCAAACAGCCAAACCAAACCAAAAGAGAGAGTTTAAATTTTCAGCTGCCTTTGAAAACAATTAAATCCATGCTCTTTCTTGATGATGGACAGGCCACTGTCTCCATACCTTGTTTCCTTCATACACCCATCCCAGACTCTTCACTCCAAAGGCAACCTGGCTGGCTGAGACATCCAGACACGTAGCAGGCTGGCCATAGACATAATGAAGGGTTCTGGCTGAGTCCTCGGCCTTCAGCAGATACACTAGGTCCCCAGCGGTGGCTATTGCCACAGGATACCTTCCAGTGTTCGGAACTATTTCAAGGTAGTCAACCTGTGAAGAAAGGTGTTGTTTAGTCACCACAGTCATCTTGACTTAGTCAAGAAAGGAATTTCCCCTGGACATAGGCCCAGCTCATAGAAACAGCTGGGTATAGAGACTACTTATGGGAGATGAACATGGCTGATGAAAAGATGCCTGTAACAGCAAAAGCAAAATTCAATGCACTCTGAAAAGGGAAGCCACAAAACAAAGTCTACACAAACACTATTTCCACCTGTCACAGCAGGAGGACCTGGAGGCCTGAGGACACAGAGCTGGCGGTGAACAAGAGACATAATCCTCTAAAGAGAGACTGGCAAGGCTCACCAGAGTGCCCATCTTACTGACCTAGGAGGCCCCTCCGTCAGTACTTATAGACACCCGCATGGCAAATACCATACAACCACAGGAAAAAAACCTGAAGACTTCTTTATGATCTAAATGGGATCACTGAGGGATGAATTAGGGCTGGGGGGAGCAAGGGAAGAGGATTCCTAGTGGGCTACCCCCTGAAATTCTGGCAGATGGGCAGAGCCACAAGGCACTTGGCTTAGGCATGGATATGTCTTATAACAATGGCTGTCTTCAAGGGGGAAACAGGCTGTGAGATAAAAAAGGCAATTTCCCACTGTTAATCTTTCTGGGTCTTTTAAATCCTGAACACAGCAATGTTTAGAACTATCCTTGTCTGTTTTGTTGTTTTACAGAAAACTTAAAAAGTAAAATACCCCCAGTTCCAAACGAACAAAAGCGTTTTGACAAATATGTGTAAGTACCACAAACATAGTATCAGATGACCCAAACATCTGTGTTCTTAGTTCTCTCCTGCCTGCCTGTCAGGCAATGACCCCCTGTGCCATGTGACCACCTATGGGTAGAGGCCAGCACAGACAAACCACACTCTTGTCAGTGTTTTCTGACTATACAGGGAAACAGCACACTTTCGGAGTATCTGCTTCTTCCCAGAGTAGTCTATATCACACTGCACCTGCTTAGTAATCTCAGGGAGCGTGAATGCTGAAGGTGAGTCACTGCGGAATCATGAAAAGCCATGGCGTGAAGGACAGCATTGCCCTGACAATATGCCAGAGGTGCTCAAAAGCCTGAGTTCTGCAGGCTGCCCTGGGGAGCTGAGCACAAGCAAGCATCCAGTGTCTCTGCTAATCCTGGGCCCAAACCGTTGCTGCGCAGCCCAACATCTTGGGCTGTGGGTCCATCACAAAGGCCAGCTGCTCCAAGCTAACACTGCAGACCTGGGAACGTTGCCACTGTTATTCAGGAAGCACAGCAAGGGAACAAAGATGATCCGGCTCCATGGACCAGGGGTGCCTGATCCAGGGATACACAGTGCATCCTGTGGCAACTTGGCACCCGGACTGGAAAAGACTGCTGAGAGTTGATGGGTCCCTAAGCAGGACTGCTCACTCCTGTTTCTAAAATACCTCATTTCTTGTTTTCATAAAATACATCTTTTGGTTACCCATTTAACTTCATCTTCCAGCAGAATTTCTAGCAGGCCAAGAGGCTCAGATTGGCAGTGGCTATCTTTCGATGGGAGGTGTAAACAACCTCAAAAGCTTCCAGCCGGCCCCAGGATCGCACCTGATTGCCAAGGCAGGATTTACACTTCATGAGGGGTGCTTGGCTTGCATAACTGTGGCTGGTCCATAGCGCTCTTTAGCCCTTCAGAACAAACGGAAGCCCCGCACCCCATGTGTCTCTCCACAGCCCCAGGATGTGCTGACAGCATCAGATCGTGTGAGAGGAACACTCTGAGAAACAGAGCTGATCCACAGAGGATGCTTAGGGAGGTGAAGCAGTGATACTAGGTGCTTGCTACTCATATCTAAGTTACCACAGGGAAATGGAGAGAGGAGCTGGTTCCAAGTTGCCATCCATCCTTACTCAAGGCTGGTTCTTTCACTCCCCTGGCTAATGCCAAAAGGAAGTATGCTCAAATTAAATCCAAATCCGGCATAGAGAGATTAACACTGCCTTATCACCAAATCACGTGTGTTTGGTGAACAAGACTAGTAACAACTTAACCTGTCAGAGCTCTGTGCAAAGGCCGCTGAGCTCGCTCAGCTTCACACGACATCCTGGAGCTGACATCCATGGACTCCCTCCAAAGCTCTTCTCAGTTTTAGGTAGACAACAGTGTGGGGTGGATGCTTCCTTCCACACACACTGCAATGTTCCACAGCTGCTCACTCAGGGTTAGGCCAGGAATGAAGCTCCAGCTCCCAGGGTGAGGGTGCCACACTGGCAGAAAGAAGGCTGGGATGATGGGTAAGAAAAAAAACTCTGGCCCTGAAGCCAGCTCCATGTTTGCCTGCACTGCTGTGTTCTTTTGTTTTAGAAGCTGGGGGTGGAGAGTAGGCTCAGCAGTTAAGAGCATGAACTGCTTCTTATAATGGCCTGAATCAGATTCCCAGCTCACAACAACTTATAACTTCTGCTCCTGGGGATCCAACACCTCTGACCCTCTTTTGAGCACATACCCAAACGCATAATAAAAAAGAAAGAAAGAAAGAAAGAAAGAAAGAAAGAAAGAAAGAAAGAAAGAAAGAAAGAAAGAAAGAAAGAAAGAAAGAAAGAA